GACCAATCCCATGGGTCACTCAGGAGTCCGGACACCCATAGCTATGCGAGAGCGAGCTTGCTCATCTCCCAAAGAAATCAAGCATCTCTCACGCTCTTGCAGCAACAACAACTGCAACAGTGAGCACGTCGATGTCCCAGAAAATGGGATGGCCATAGACAACCACAAAGCACCAATCCAGGACAACGACAAGCTTAACAACAGTACCTGGGCATAGCCCGCAGATTTCACGTCGAAGATTAGCCATTCGGGTATTGCTGTTAACTCGGCCTCGAGTTACCGATCGGCCAATGAACTTGAGATCGACATCAGCCAGTTGGAGGGGCCAAAGACGGAGGAAATGGGGGTAGTGGCCGTACACTCGCCGGGGGCACGTCATCACTAAGGCCGCGTGGGGCCTGTCTCACCACGGCCGTCCCGCACGCCCACCCACGCACACGGAGATAGCCCACCCATTTTGCCTTTAGGTGGGCTCTGCTCACCGCGGTCGTCCCGGAAGGCCATGCTGACCGGCTGGCAACACTTCTCACTGCCAAAATTTCCCCACCCGCCAAATGACAGCCATTTGAGGGAAATTTGGCAGATGGGAAAATCTCGGCAAGGCAAGTGTTCCCAGTCGGTCAGACGACTGACCTTGGTACTTGTTCCAAAAAAGGCAATTTCGGTGCCTCGTCAGCCCGTCTGACCGACTGGTTAGAGGACCCCCGAATATTGCGGTGGAGGCTTGGTTCAAGCTCCGGATGGCTCCTTCCCTTTTGGGATTGAGGCCTGTTCCATTGTCCGGATGCACCTTCCAAATGGGGTAAAATACCTGTGTCGGCAAGTCCCGAAATCGCATCGATTCGTCGCTGTCACTGTCACACCGCAGACAAACTCGAATATTTGGAATCTGAATAGGATATAAATGAGGGATTGAGATGGTAACTAGATTCTACCACTTTTCAACATACGAATAGGCATTGGAAAGGTAAAATATTCACTTGATAATGGACTGACGCCTGCCTATTTTGGCGTCGGACATTGAAAGATGAAGGTCGAAAAGGGTAAATTAAGCTTTTCATTGCCTTCTCAACCCTTGAAAATGACTGAAAGGGTAAACTTTTCAGTGACTTTTCGCGAGATGAGCAGTCACCCCTTTTCAACCCCTTTTTCAATTACAGAATATCCTGTTTTGTCCGTGGTGTCAGTGTCTGAGTCACCAGTAGATAGGGGCTATTCCTATGTCCGGATTCGGGTCGGGCATCGGATGCAATGCCTGGTCCCACGTCCGGATTTTCAACACTTCGACCTTGATGACATTACATGGCAACTGTCCATGCTTGTCACTTGTTGTCGCCTGGTCCTAAATACTAAGGAATGCAGTAGTAACTATGTTCTCAACATGTATTTAGGCACCTACTGACTCAAAAGTATCTCAATGCACAGATGGAGAGAGCAAAGGATAACAAGCAAATGCTAGATCAAACTGAGCATAGATAGTCAACCTAGCTAGACAGTCAAGGTAGTGGGTTAGAAGGATAAGAAGGCAAGTGGGATGGATATTAAGGTCAGCACATCACAGCCGATTGTTTCAAATCATCTATGGGGACAATCATTTCACCAGCAAGAGCGGCTGATACTGTACCACTCCACAGTTGGGACAAGCTAGTGTCGGCGACCGCCTGTGAGGCCTGTGTCTCTGTCCGGACCAAAATAGCCCCTATCTTACTAGGCCTGTTGCTCTGTTCTGATTTTCGACCCTGAATAGGGGCTATTTGTCCGGATCGAAACGGCGCAATTCGGAACAGGCATCCACCGGTATATTCAGGGGTCCTCTGGTTAGGAGTCAGACAGACAGACTGTGTCGCAAAGTTCATTTAGCGGTCGCAAATCGGTCGCAATGGATACTGGCGATTCCGTTCAATTGCAATCAGCTGCAATGACCTTGGAACGTAATTGCAACCGATTGCGGCTAACACTCACAATTCTGATCGAAATAAACTTTGTGACGATTTCTGGTATGGCCTGGTATCCTATTATGGATGTTGTTCTTATTGGCGGTGAATATTTGAATGCCGGAGTACAGCGAACTAGGTCTATGCAACTTTTTAAATGCAGCCCCACCTCTCCAGGTTCGGAAGGGATGGCCGAGTGTGAACCTTCTGCCTATATAAGCTCAGCTCAAGCAGTGAGTGGACAGGAGACGAGCTAATGGTCGTAATGGTTCTGTGTAACCATGCTACTATGAATCCAAGCGATATTGAGGTGAAGTAAAATATAGGCGTCCGTACTAGTAGCTGAAGTCAATCTATGACCTCACATGCTTTGGAGCTTCAGCTTCAATAGTGGACACCCAATAAAGCAAACCCTTTATCTGATCAGGTGTCAGCTTCAATTGCTGACATGATAGAAGCTTCTCAATCTTTATTAATAAATGATTCCTCATGTTTTTGAGAGTCTCGGACTGTTATATAAGTTATCAGTTTGAGATGGGAAAAGATTTTATACATTAAATGGACGAGCTGCTCACCTTTTCAACATCTTTCAATTCAGAGTCGAGTTTGGTCATATCCAGTTCTCGGAGAAGGTGGATTTGCCATAGCATGTGATTGATCTTAAGGTGAGGTAAATGAACAGGATCATCAAGATATTGTGTGCCTTGGCATACCACTGGGCGCGCCTCGATATTGGACTCACTCTCGCGTATTGCCTCCGCTATCATATACCTTAAATGGGATAGCTTGTCCAAAGGAGTTTCCCACATCTTGGGGATTAAAGTTCTTGTTTGTAGTTTATACAGGATTTGTATAAGTTTTATAAAGTGAACTTGAAGCACTCGGTCCTAAATTCAGATAAACTGTCAATAAAGGGTTCCACTCCTCAGAGATTATTGGATATACACTCCACCAAGAAATGATAGTGTTTTCCTGAACATGGGACACAATATAGGACGCAAGCAATGAAACATTCCTCTGTGAAACCATACTTCATCAAAGAGAATATATAAACAAGATGGAATGGCTTACATCTCCCATTGTCTGGTCGGCACATTGTAAAGTTGTTATCCGAGCTAGTTTCTCAACAACATGAGAGATATAGTCCAATGGGGACTCTGATGTAGTATCTCTGCTGTGTGGACGGGTCGTCAGAGATCTTTGGCCGCGAGGTGGGTAGTGGTGGGCTGAAGATTTATTTGAAGAGTCTACATGATCTGACTGCGAGTCGGAGAGCCGAGCTACCCCACGAGTGGTATGCCCACGAGTACTCGCATGTTTTCTGGGGCTTCCTCTCTGGCGAGGGAGCTTCTGATCTGTGGAGAAAGTTTAGTGAACCGCTCTGAGTCGATGGTGGAGTCAATATCACAGGAAGCGAAGATCAATGTACCATTTTGATGGAACTGAAGTTTTGGCTTGGAAGCTTCATCGGACCAAGCCAATGCTGGTTGTTCTGCCACTGAGGACAGTGCTGAACTTTCAGCCGTGGTAGTGGTATTTGAGCTTGATCTGTGCACTCCCAGCATATGTGGAGGAACAGTGTTAAGAACCACGCCCTCTGCGCTGATCCCAGTGGGGACTACACTGGCTGTGTATGGGGGACGTTCGATAGGAAGCAATGCTTGGCTATCAGGATTGCCGTCGACTTCCTCGGGAGCAAAATCTAAGAGATTTAGGAACAGTGAAGCAGGGTTGTGTCTGGGGGAAGCAGTCGGAATGGGCTGCTTAGCCTTCCCTATATTCCCTGGAGAGCTGTGAACGGGAAGCATATCGTCTTGGCATATCCGTGGCAGGCTTGGTGAAGCACATGCTTCCGGGACTCGCATTCTCACTCCAGAGCTAGATATCTCCTACGACGTGCTCGGTAAGTCGAGAATTCTTTGGCAGCAATAGCAGAAGACATACCTGGCTAGTCGTCAAACCCCCTTCCCTGCACAACCCCTGGTTTAAGGATTCGACATCATTAATGCTTGGCCCTTGTTTTTGATGATCTAGGGTGTTGCACTGGTGCTCGCCTGCATCTTTCCGTGCTTCCGGTACTATATCCTTGAGCTTTGAACAGTTTGTTATGACCTCATGTTCGTTGTCCTTGTTGTGTGTCTGGTTTGTGCTATCCAGGTGCTCTTTAGTTGTCAAAAATGTTTCTTGGGTAAGATGCTGGTGGTACTCTGATATCTTCCCGCACGTGGAACAAACTACGTGCTGATGATTATCACGTCTGTTTTCCTCCCTCCCTGTGCTTTCAATTTGTGCTGCTGTACGCATTTCTGGGCTCTGATCCTCCGTAAAGGATGTATTCAAGTTCAATTGAGCAAAGAGAGTATCTGATCTCTCCTCGTCTGTCAGAGGCGAGATGGACACGAGAAACTCAATGACATCAACTGCTGTTAGGTTGCCGCGTCTAGGTTGATACGACCGCGCCATTGGGCCGGAAACTGCTCCAGAGAGGCCGATATCTTCCAGACATAAATCCTCTTTGATGCAGCAACTCATCAGAAGCGCATTCCAGGTGTGAACATTGGAGTAGTTTGGAGCGGAAATCGGATCCTGGATGCTAAATTGAGTACGTTATTCAATAGTAGACCCGTTGGTTGTCATACCGCTTGATTTTGGATGTCATCTCTGGACTCCGAACATCGTTTCTCCAAGGTTGCCTCTATGTTGCATTCCTCAACTGATGAAGTATGCAGCATGTCACCCTGAGGGATCCTCTCAATTAGACATCACTCACCAGCGTACTCATCTAGTGTGCGTACCGGCTTCTGGCTGTTATTTTCCCACAGCCCTTGAACAATGTCTTGAGCCTCCTTGAGTGACGCGGGAGGTTCTTGAGGAGTGGACGCA